TTTTTTTTTTTTTTTTTTTTTTTTTTTTTTTTTTTTTTTTTTTTTGGACCATTTCTTGATTTATGCGTGTCATCCTTGCGCACGGGCCATGCTAATCTTCTCTGTATCGGTAGAAACCCTTCTCTATGGATGGGGTGGGCAACCCAGGGGCTCCCTGATGGATGAACCCACCCCCCTTTGTTTGTGCAAGACAAAGGTGGGGATCAAATGGCTGCAATCCAAATCAGAGCTGATGCCGCTTCACCTAGCAGCAGATAGACTATGTAAACTGAAGGGTTCTTATAGTAATCAGCCAAGCTGGCTCTTACTATGGGATGCACTACGAAAGATTCCTAACTAGAAGTATGCGAGCCTGTTATGGTTGCAGTCCCTCCAGGTGGTTCCCACCGCCCAATGGCTGGCCACCAAAGGCATGGACGTGCCCACGACATGTAAGAGATGCGAGTGGGGGTGGGAGTCCAATTCCCACCTATGGCTTCAATGCCCATTGGTGGACGAAGTTTGGTTGTGGTGGACACTGATGTGGAATAGTTTGTCTGGAGATTCCTTCTCTTGGTCTGATGACTGGATTCTGTATGCTACACTCCCCGCCCAGAATGTGTACTATGCGAATGGGTGGGGCTATGTGGCATTGGTTTGCAGGGCAACTATCATGTTCACTATTTGGAATGCAAGGAATGCAGTGGTTTTCAAGGGGGAGAAGGTACCACTTCAACAACAGCAACACCAGATCAGAAAAAGTATACGACTGATGGTTTTGGCAGATTGGAAAAAATGTACAGGGCGCCAGGGGAAAGGACTTTTGTGGTTTCGTAGTACCTGGCCCCTTCTTAATCAGTGGGTCTCGGTCTCACAAGATGGGTATTTGTCGTTTAAAAATTGGCTACTTCATTCTGAATAGGACGGGTTTGGACTTTGAGCGGAACGGGGATATGGTTAATGAGCCTACCTGTCTTCCCTTTTGAGCTGGTTTATCATAGGATTTTGAGCTAGAACGAGCTCCTTTTCTGTGCTTTAAGGTTAATTTTGGAAAGCTAGGTTGCTTAAGGGACGCTGGACCCGGTTTCCAGCTAAGTGGATTTTGTTAGATAGCAGAAGCTGGGGTCTGGCAATGTTTATAAGCTAAACTGGCTGAGGCTGCCAGGATAACTCCGGGTTGAATTGTGAGGTCCCCGGCCTCGTCCCTTATTTGATGCGATATATGGATGACCTTTCCAAAAAAAATAAAAAATAAAAATAAAAAAAATTCTCTGTATCGTTCCAAATTCCAATTTTAACGGATGTCCCGAAGGACAAAAGTGTTAGTTTAGTTCTGTTCTCTGGCCGCGTCCCGGTGGCCAAGGAGCTAGATCCTATCTACTAGCTACCCTTTCCTTATTTCAATTCTATTTATTTATTTTTGATTTTTGATTTTTTTTTTCTTTTTTTTCTTTTTTATTCCCCTGTGGAGGGGAAGGGCTGCGCCGCACTCTGCTGCAGTGCAATACAGAGGCAACACTGGAGGGGTCGAGTAAGCAAGCTTACCCGTACGACCCCTCGTTGGCCCAGAAAATTTAATTTAATATCGTGTGGTCCGATGGACCACGGATCAGAATCTGATATTAAACTGATCAGAACAGATACTACACTTGATCTTAGCCAAAAGGCCGAGAAAGGTATGGTACTGCTGTAGATCAGTTCTGACATCCTTCCCGTCGGCGTTGGTTCATGCCTGCCGTTTTGGATCAGCCTGCGATCAGTTGCATGTGTGTACTTCGGCCAAGAAATGGTCCGTTTGTTATCACTTCGGCCGGGCCCCCTCTGGCCTGTATATCTCAGTGCAGTATCCGTCCTTCGAGGTCATGTGTTCGAACCCTCCAGTCGCCACAGTCGGAGCTGTATCGAATGCATTTTCCAAACTCAGGTTGTGTGTTCGAGCCTTTGTTCAGTCAGAACTGTGTCTGATACTTTTAATATCTTCCTACTTACATCACCATCACGTCAGAACCTTCTCTCTCCTTCTCTCTCTCTCTCTCTCTCTCTCTCTCTCACACACACACACACACACACACTCCTATCCCCCGTTGCTTGCCTTCTTTCTTTGCTCGTTATCAGCTTTACAGACTCCTCGCCCCCCTCCTCCCTCCCAGCCCTTCTTCTTGCCCTTCTCTGCTGTTTCCTTCTCCTTGAAGTTCCTTTCCTCCAAGGAACTAAGAATAAACCAATCTTCATTTTGATTCTGGCAAATGGACGATGACGAGTCATTGACGACCACTCAAGCAGTGTTCATGAGAGAATTCCTAAAAATAGAGCAGATGGGTGCGGGCTTTTTTGCCGCACAGTCATGGACCCGGAAATTGTCTTTTCTTTTCCTTTCTTTGTTTTCTTTTGAACTCACATATATTATCATAGCAAAATTTGCAAATGCATCTTTTAAAATTCTTATGCACATCGTCAACGTGTGTAGTCATGTGGTGAAAGCAGGGGCATGGTCCTGGTTCCTGGCCGTTGATCTTCACAATCTATGGTCAGAAACAAAGATGAAGAATGGGGGGAAAGGTCCCACTGGCAAAGAGGTTYGGATTAAGAGCTTGAATCTGGATGGGTTTTATGCATAGATGCAGAAAAGCAGATCACTTGTAATCTCCTGCACCTCTCCAGAAACACGTCCAGATTCAGGCGTCAAATCAGATACTCTTTGCTAGTGGGATCTCACCCCAGGTAAGTAAGTGGGACCTCGCTGCAGAGTCTGTTCAGACTGTCTGCCGATTCAAACTGAGGGATTGTCCGAGGGGATTCATCAACTTGAAGTTGTTAAACAAAAGAAACCAAAACTCAAAAATCGAACACTCAAACGCAAAGGCAGATATCGCTGGAAGGGGGCTGAAAACAGTCACTCGTTGGCCGGATCACAGTCCGGAACCCCCCMCCCCCAACCATTAAAAAAAAAAAAAAAAACCCACAAAGCACAGTGTACATGAACAGCAAGAAGAATTCAAATCATCAGCCTCTGAGCTGCGTGGAGCTAAGGAAAGTCCTGCAGGCATGGAGCCTGTAAGCTAAACTGGACCGTCACGGTGCTTCCAGCCTTCCGGGCGTAATGTGGAGGACCCCGGCCTCCGTATTGAATTTGGAATCTGGAATGGAAAATTGAATTTTGAGCAAAAAAAAAAAAAAAAGAACTCAACCAGTAACCCAGAGACGGCATGTTATAACCGCCTCTTCGGGAAAAAATAACTGGGAAACGTGCTGATCGTTCAATCATGGTGAGAGTCGTAAGTCTATTCACTTCTTCGCTATTCACCGTTGACCATCGACCGTCTGATGGTATGATCATTGACCAAAGAGTCCACTGACACACTATTAGTGTCCAGTTTCTTTAACTTTCTTATCATCTTGAACATCTATGGCCCCTGGCCCCACTATGCCCCACTATGGCCCCACTGTGGGCCCACTTTTCCCATTACCCTAACAAAGTACCATGCCAAGTAGCGAGTTTTCCTTATCCACCAGCCCAAGAGCAAGGTGCGGCGTTTTTTTTTTTTTTTTTTTTTTTTTTTTTTTTTAATTAAAGGTGCGGCGTGGTTGACTGCCACCCTTTTGTGGAGTCAAGTCTAACTGGGTGCAGGCAGGCCCATACACCCATGAAATGGCAGCGGTTAACCAGGCGCACCTTGCTCTTGGACCGGTGGGCGGTTTAAGAGAGAAAAAAAGAAAGAAGAGAGTCCAAATTTTCCACCTCTGATTGCAGCCTATCAACGCAACAAGGAAGAATCGGACCTAAGGGCCAGATTGGCGGAAGCGGAAAGTATGCTGGGACACCACCCAGTATCTGATCTGTTCTGGGCAGAGGAGCGCAAGGAAAGACAGTTGGACTGGGACAGTTGGCAACATTAGAAAGAAGAGAGATTGATCAAGATTCTCGAAATCAAGGGAGTGATCACGTCAGATCGGGTAACGAAAGAGACCTTCAAACGGCTCCTCCCCAAGTCTAAAGCGGTGCAGATGAGGGAGTTGATCCATCCACACCAGCTAGGGAAACCAGTGGCTACGTCAAATGAGGACATGTGCAGCTATGCTGTAGACTACTACCGGGACATCATGACTTCACGCAGACCATATGACGACCTTGATGACAACATGGCAGAGGGTTCAGCTCTGTGGAAAAATGTGACGACGCACCTCCCCGACTGCGGTAAGACCTGGTTGGGCAGACCGGTAACGGAGGAGGAGCTAACGGTCACCCTCCAGGTTATGGCCCGGGGAAAAGCGCCCGGAGATGACGGCCTGCTGGTAGAGTTCTATGGAGTTTGCTGGGAGGATCTGAAGTCGGATCTGGTGGAAGTCTACAACGCTGTCCGGGAAGGAGGTAGACTAGGGCGGACGATGACGAGAGGTATCATTTCACTTCTCTACAAGAAGGGCGAGCGCAGCGAAGTGCGGAACTGGCGTCCGATTTCTCTTCTTAATGTAGTCTACAAACTGCTGGCTAAGACGTTGGCCATCAGACTTGCTGACTACCTCCCTGGTCTGGTCCATCGGGACCAGGGAGCTTTTGTGCGGGGCCGCTCAATTTTTGAGAACATGGTGACAGCTATCGAGGCACTAGAACTGATTGAGAGGGAGGAACTAGATACGGCAGTGCTGCTACTGGATCTAGAAAAAGACTACGATAGAGTCAACTGGACCTTTGTCCTAACTACTCTTCGCTTCATGGGCTTCGGGGAGTGTTTCTGCCAATGGGTAAAGGTGTTGTATGGGTTTTCCACGGCAGCAGTCTGTGTCAATGGGGTGATCTCGGAGGAGTTTGCTCTTTCACGCTCATTACAGCAGGGCTGCCCGTTGGCCCCCCTGCTGTTTGTACTCCACCTAGAACCCCTGCTGTGCAATATCTGTGCACACCCAGATATCATTGGTTTATGTGGTCTTAGAGGGAAAGAGAGCCGGGTCAAAGCCCTGGCGGACGATCTGTTAGCTATCTCAGTGAATAGCGATCGATCTCTGGGGGCACTGAAGAACTGCCTGGCAGATTTTGCAGAGCTATCCGCGGCAGCAGTTAACTGGAACAAGTCGGTTTTCTTCTTACCGAAACAGTTTTCTCTTTCTGTCCAATGGGGTATGGAGAGAGTGGAAGCAGACAGAGCTGAGCGGTTCTTGGGTATACAGATGGCACTTGGCGACTGTTCGGCCTCCCAGGACATCATACTGCAGGAGAAGTTCTCTAAAAGGGTGAAAAGTTGGGGAAAGGTCTAGCACCTCTCTCTTATTGGGAGAGCGCTCGCGGTTATGGTCTCGGCCTTTGCCCTGCTTTGGTATGTCGCAGCAGTCAGAAGGCTAGGTCCACCTCTTACCAAGACTGTAAGAAAGGTTGCAGGAAGGTTTATTTGGAAACCGGAGGGAGACCCGGAGAGTGGTTTTATTTCTAAGGTGGCTTGGGATACTGTTTGCTCTTCGAGCGAGGAAGGGGGTTTGGCTCTGATTGACCCAGACACACATAACACCGCCCTGCTGGCTAAGTGGATTGTCCGGGTGGCTACAGCTGAAGAACAAGCAGATTGGATCATGCTGGCGGAAGCGTTGCTGGCCAACGAGTGGAAGCTGTCTAGGCCTTCGGATGTTTGGGTAGCCATCATGTCAGATACTTATGCCTACAAACGCCCGAGGTCAAGGTTTTGGAGAGAGGTCCTGTTAGCCTGGAGGAAAAGCAAGCCTACAGGCAGCAGCACCCCTACTACCAAGGAGGAAGTGCGCAGACAATGTCTATTTGAGAACGACCACATCAGAGGGGCTGATGGTAAGTGGATACCACTGGCCAGGGAACCGGGTGCCTTCGGTCAGAGCTGGCTACAGAAAGGGGTCTCGACGGTGGGTGACCTCTGGGACGACTCGACAAACAGTTGGAAGCCCAGTCAGCATATGAAAAGCACTCTGGGTCAATTGCCCAGGCAAGAGGAGCGTCTGCACATACTGTTGGAAGCGATCCCAGTCCAGTGGAAGAGCCTTCTAGGCCCAGAAGGTGTGGATCCTCCTGGTACTTGGTACAAGTGGGACAATGGGGATGCGGTTTGGTTCTGCAGGTTGGAAAGTTGGACTGCAGACGGCTTGGGAAAATGCTGGTTGGAAACCTACAAAAGGGTTCACCCTGGAGAGGTACGGAATACAGTTGAAGTACGGGCTCACAGACTTGGAGGAAATCAGGGTGAAACTTAGACCTCCACCTCAAGAAGGGCTACCTCATATTCCCTGCTTGGTAGGGAACGGTCTTACCCTCCGTGAACTGAGGATTGATCCAGCAGTCTGGTTTTGGCATGTGGAAGAGTCCTGCATCAAGGGGCTGGAGTCTTTATCTTCTGCATTAAATAGGATGAGGTCATCGTCCCCCGGTGCACGCTGTAAAAAGATTGCTCAGTGCTGGGAAAAAGCGGTTCCGGATCTCGCCCCCCCGTCTGAGCCGGAACTTCTCAGATTGTGGACCCAGCTTAAAGACATCCCGTCCCAGAAGCTGGCCTCTCTGCTGTGGTTACAATCACATCTCGCGGTGCCCACTGTGCTGTGGTTGAGAGAGAAAGGGATGGAGGTTGATCCCCGGTGTGACAGATGCCTTGCCGCTCAGGAATCAATGAGCCACCTTTGGTGGGGTTGTCCCAAGTCAAGGAAATGGTGGGACTGGTGGGAGAAGTATTGGAGGTGGATCACAGGTGATGAGATTTTCACAGGCCAGAGATGGGTCTTATTGGGTGGAATGCCTCAGAACCAAAGCAGCAGAGAAGGGTGGGGTTATGTGGCTCAAATAGCCAGAGCGGCGATGCTGTGGGTCATCTGGCTGGACCGGAACAGCCTCAGGTTCAATGGAGAAGTCATCCCAGAAAAACAAGCGGAGGTGAAGTTCAGAGGGCTCCTGGTCACAGCAATCAGGGCGGACTGGTCCAGGAAAGCAGCAGCGGGCAGGCGAATGAAAGGTCTGGAGTGGTTTCGGAACACTTGGGCCCAGAGTGACAAGATAGTATCTATCTCCACAGGAGGGAGTCTGGTCTTTAGTGGTTGGTTAGAGCACGGGTAGGGGATAGGCTAGGCTGAGGGAATGAACCAGGGCACTCGGTTCCAGTCGACGGTTGCGGTAAACCGTAAAGGGGGGGCGGTGCAGGGAGAGTGTCCAGGGGTAGAAGGGAACCAGGCTTCCCCTCGGCCGACGTTAGGCCGAGCCCCAGACCGCTTGAGGGCTGTGAACAGTAGGTAGATAGGTAGAGAGTATTGTAGTTGTTCTAGGTGCATGGTATATCACACTTGAGTTTGCAGTTTTTGAATGGAGTTAGTCAGTTGGTGTAAGTTGGTCCTTTGGTTTACGCAAGGTTAAAGGTTTTGTTCAGAGGATATGGAAAGGTAAAGTTTTCCAGTCATTGGACTGTAAGCTAAACTGGCTGATGCTGCCAGGATAACTCCGGGTTGAATTGTGAGGTCCCCGGCCTCAAATTTTTCTCATTGGAATAAACTCTTCATTCGGAAAAAAAAAAAAAAAAAAAAAAAAATCCACCTCTGACAAGGGAATGCAGATACCCCTAACCATCTTTACTTATCATCACTAAAGAAATTCAATGATACTGATGGCATTCAATTTGTCAGAGAATGATGGATTTCTTGCTATTGACCAGATCTGTTGGATGGGAAAGATACGCTTTATCCAGTTCCAGTACGGGTGTTAAACTACCGCGATCAAGGGCGACTAATTAACGTTAACCACTACAAGGTACGATTGATTGGTAATTCATCTCTCTCTCTCTCTCTCTCTCTCTCTCTCTCTCTCTCTCTCTCTCTCTCTCTCTCTCTCTCTCTCTCTCTCTCTCTCTCATTTTCTTTATTTCCCCCCCAATTCCAATTCATTGGTTTGATTGGATGGGAAAAGAAAGGACGAAGAACCTGCCATGTGGCTGAATGGAGTACTAATCAGCAGTAATAAAATGCTAATAATCAGCAGGTCAGGAGTTCAAGTCCTAAAATACAAAAGGGCTAGCAGGGATTAAGAGATACGCCCTAAGAATGGGGTTAGGGTATGGTTTCAACGATCGACTTGCTGGCCGAGACGGTGAGAAGCCATCTCTCCGATTCTCTCGTCTTCCTGTGTTTCTTTTCCCTGCACACCCTTGACCACCACGGTGACCCTGACGGTCGAACCTTTTTTTTTTTTTTTTTTTTTTTTTTTTGAAAGAAACAACATCCCTACCAGTGATAGTGGTGCTGGTATCTTGCAGGGATGAAGAGAAATCGGCTGTAGATATTGCAGATATTCATCTTTGAAGATATTCATCTTCAATATCTACAGCCAGTTTGTCTTCCACCCCATTATGTCGTAAACCATGCAAATGGGACCTCGTACCAGGCCTGTCGTGATGGAAGCAGGCTTTTTTGTTTGTTGGGGAGAGAGACAGGGGGACCAGGGGAGTGAGAGAGAGAGAGAGAGGGTGACATCCTGCAACCAGCGGATTCCCCACCAACCGTAACATCGAAGGCCATTTCAGAACTTAACTAGCTCATGCAAAAATCTTACTAGGTGAAGCTGTCATGCTGCCTCAAGGAGGGATGAAAACACTAGGTCTTTTTGGAGCTATTCCTGGATGTGATTGTGACCAGATACATTCTGCGCTGTCTGTACTTGCGGTCAGATACATCGAGGAAATTCCCAGTGTGAGTATGCCCCCAGAGTATACACACATTGCGCTTACTTCCACCCCCCACTGAACCCAGATCCACAATAACTCGCAGAATCACACAACGGTTACCCCCGAAGAAGCCAACCCCATCCTTTCCAGAACGGTTACCCTCGGAATCTCTTGCCTGCATCGTCAGATTCATCACTGCTGGACACCTCTACTTGAGGAGACCTCTGTAGAAATGCTCAAATAGGGGAAATAATGGAATGCATGCCACACACCTAGACACGGTAGTGTCTTCACCCGAATAGAACGCCTGGTCAAGATAGCCGTATTTGGTGCAATTTTCAGTTTAGACACAGCTATAATGACCGGGGCGTTCTATTTGGGTGAGGACGGTAGTCCAGTAGGGCCTGCACCAGCAACAACAACAACAACAACAACAACAACAAGAAAGACATCCCAATACCTTCTAAACCATGACTCTACACCCTTTATCAACGAAAGCAACCCTCTACAGACCCTTCCCAAACCCCCTCCGCAAACCCTCCCCGAACATTTCCCCAAGAGCCCAAACCCTACACCCGAAACCCTCGCGAAATCCTATGAACGCGAAACCCTTGCAAGACCCGAATCCCCAAACTTGAAACCCTCACAAAACACTAAGCCTCGGACACGCCAAAACCCTAAATCCAAAGCTTTTGCTTGCAAGATCCTAAGCCCGAAACCCTCGCAAACAGATTGATCTGTAACCTCAGAATGTCGTCAGCTCCACACCGCTTTCATCGGATCTAAACAGTTTTGTGCCCGAGTGAATTGCACACCAGTCCCTAAACTCGAAACCCTTGCAAAATTCGAAACCCTTGCCAAGCCTGAAACCCAAAGCCCTCGCAAAGCACTGAAACTGAAACACCCGCAAAACCCTTAACCCAGAGCTTTCACAAAACATAAACCCTAAACCCTAAACCCAAAACCCTCGCAAACAGATTGATTTGCAAGCTGAGAATATCGTCAGCTCCACACCCCTTTCGCCGGTTCTTCTTCTTCTTCTTCTTCATCTTCTTCTTCTTCTTCTTCTTCTTCTTCTTCTATCTCTTTTTTTTTTTTCTTTTTTTTTTCTTTTTTTTTTCTTTTTTGTCTTTTTTTCTTTTCTTTTTCGGCACAGGTCCCAAATAATCTCTCGTCAAATGTCCGAATCCCAATGTCGAGTCTGGATCCAAATGTCGTCAAGTCCCAAAGTCACCAATCTCTCCCTCTCTCGTAGTCTGCAGATACTGAGAAGTCAGGTAGCGAGAGGGTGACGAGGAGATGGTGGACTTAGAAGAGGAAGAAGAAGAACTCTCTCTCTCTCTCTCT